GCAAAAAATATTAAATTTAATATGCAGAAAATAATAAAAGCCAAATGTAAGATTACAAGAGTGCGGATAAGTAGGCAGTTTTAAGTTAGTTGATTTGTTTAGCGGCATGTCCATTCATAAGTCATATCGAAATTTAATTTTCTTCAGAGCTTTGAAGTAATAAAAATGTTATTCTACTTTCACAATTGAATACATGGTAGATGATACTCAGCTTTTGTGTATATCCAAGTTTGTGTGAACATAATTACTTGAAGCGTTTTGTACTTTTTAAGTTGTAGATATGTTAAGTTATATTTTGAGATACAGTTTGATTTAAGAAATTTTAGGATATTATATGGATTAATGTAATGAAAGACTTCATGTTGGTTGGTTGATTTTATTTAGTGGCATATAATCCTCTATCGATTATTTAATGGCAATATGTAAATAGTTTGCAAACAATTTTATAGCTTCAACTAAATATATTTTGAACGCAATTGTATGCCTTCAACTGCAGATAAAATGTATTGCGACTCATTCATTGTCGGTCTTTTTTTACATAAAATATATTGCTGTTATTCTTACTATTAAAATGTGTTTTTATACTTTCATAGTGTTTTTTTTTTGGGGGGGGCTCAATATTTGCTGATAGCTGAGACACTAACAGGTGTTACCACCCCGGGTCAGGGTGGACCTTAGAATAATAACAATTAAGATGTGGTTGTAGCCACTTCAAAACCGTCAATCTCCCGATCAGATGCTTTACTATCTAATGTAGTTTATCGTCATACCCAGGAATAATGGTAGTTGTAAAAAGAATTCTGAAATATTAATGGCGTATGGCAGGTAAAATTTTTATTAACATAAAAATTATTATTTCTTTTTGCTTACTACTAGTATATTTATTGAATCTATATGTAATCATTGACGTTAGTGAATATAAAGTTTCGATGTATTAATCAATTTTATGTGTCATGTTTTTCTTCAAGTGTCATATCTTCACGCGTCATGTTTATGGCTTCTGTTCCTATTTTTCATTTTAAACCATATTTAAAATATTTGTTTGCAAATTTAATAAAATTCTACTGGAAAATATTACGCATGATATTTTGAGTTATTTTATGATTTTTTTTTCTTAATATTTTCAATATCTTTTAATATTTATCATGAAACCATGGATTCCTTGTTATGGTTAATGTTAAGATTTTTATCGAATTCGGTGAGGGGTATGTCAGGGATGAATCAATTTGATTATTTCATTGATTAGGTAGAAGAGTCATAATCAGCCTTGAAAAGGAGGAAGTCAGGTCTATATATGAATTGAGTGCGTGATTAGTTCAGGATAGACAATCTCCCAAAGGATATGAATAATTTGTTTATGACATAGGCAGTTAATCAAGAATTATTTTTCTTGATCAGAGGTGTTGGGGTTAATGAGATTATCGGTTCACGTTGTTTTGTTTTTTGTTTTTTGTTTTTTTTTTTGTCGTATATTACGTTTTATTTTATCATTTGTAGATATCTTTCTATGGTTAAGATTTTTAAAGTTTGTTTCAGTTTGTTTTTGTAGGTTTGGCGTATTTTGTCGCATTAAAATTGATTTTATCGTGAGAACATCTATAAGAAGCGACGGTTAAAAAAAATGGTGGAATAAAGAAATTTGGTTTCACTTGATTTTGAAATTGATTATTTCCTCATAAGATGATTTTAGTTTAAATAAACTGTATTAAAAAGGTTTTCAGAATGCAGATTGTTAGGATAACTGAAAATAATTAAAATAATTGAAAGTGGAACATATAATAGGGAGACAATATTGGGCGTAATGCGGGAAAAAACAAAGAAGAAAAAGAAAGTATAGAAATGGAAAAGGAGGGGAGGAATTTGTGATTAAGAGGAAGAAGAAAGAAAAAAGGAGAAAAATATTGATGAAGGGAGAGAGAAAGCGTGCAAATTAAGGTAGAAAAAAAGAAGATTATTTGAAAATAGAGAAGGAGAAATCGGAAAGGGTTAATTAAAGATTAAAGAAAAAGAAAAAGAATAGAATTTTGAGAAGGAGATAAAAAAATTAAAGGAGAAATTCTAGTAAAAGGAGAAGAAGGAAAGTGGGATTAATAAAAAGAAAAAGAAAGAAATGAGAGTCGAAAAAGAATATCGGAAAAAAAAGAAAAACAGAAATGAAGAAGAGGAAGGAGAGTGAATATAATAAAGAAAAAAAAGAGAAGTGCGTGAAAAGGGTTAGAGCAGAGAAAAAAGAAAGAGTGACGAAAAGGTCGTAAAAAGAAGTGGTGGATAAGAAGTAAAAAAAAAACAAAAACAAGGAGGAGAAGAGGAATCAAAAGGAGAAAAAGGAAAAGAAGGAGGGGAAGGAGAAGAAGAAGAAGAATAAAAAGAAGAACAATAACATGAGGAGGAGGGGAGGGATCAAAAAGAAGAAAAGGAGGAGGGGAAGGAGAAGAAGAAAAAGAACATGAAGGAGGAGGAGAGGAATCAAAAGGAGAAAAAGGAGAAGGGGAAGGAGAAGAAGAAGAAAAAGAACAAGAACATGAGGAGGAGGAGAGAAATCAAAAGAAACAAAAGGAGGAGGGGAAGGAGAAAAAAGAAAAAGAAGAACAAGAACATGAAGGAGGAGGAGAGGAATCAAAGGGGAAAAGGAGGAGTGGAAGGAGAAGAAGAAGAAAAAGAAGAACAAGAACATAAAGGAGGAGGAGAGGAATCAAAAGAAAGAAAATGAGGAGAGGAAAGAGAAGAAGAAGAAGAAGAACATAAAGGAGGAGGAGAGGAATCAAAAGGAGGAAAATGAGGAGGGGAAGGAGAAAAAGAAGAAAAAGAAGAACAAAAACATGAAGGAGGAGGAGAGGAATCAAAAGAAACAAAAGGAGAAGAGGAAAGAGAAGAAGAAGAAAAAGAAGAACAAGAACATGAAGGAGGAGGAGAGGAATCAAAAGAAGGAAAATGAGGAGGGGAAGGAGAAGAAGAAGAAAAGAAGAACAAGAACATGAAGGAGGAGGAGAGGAATCAAAAGGAGGAAAATGAGGAGGGGAAGGAGAAGAAGAAGAAAAAGAAGAACAAGAACATGAAGGAGGAGGAGAGGAATCAAAAGGAGGAAAATGAGGAGGGGAAGGAGAAGAAGAAGAAAAAGAAGAACAAGAACATGAAGGAGGAGGAGAGGAATCAAAAGGAGGAAAATGAGGAGGGGAAGGAGAAGAAGAAGAAAAAGAAGAACAAGAACATGAAGGAGGAGGAGAGGAATCAAAAGGAGGAAAATGAGGAGGGGAAGGAGAAGAAGAAGAAGAAAAAGAAGAACAAGAACATGAAGTAGGAGGAGAGGAATCAAAAGGAGGAAAATGAGGAGAGGAAGGAGAAAAAGAAGAAAAAGAACAAGAACATGAAGGAGGAGGAAGGAATCAAAAGGAGAGAAAGGAGGAGTGTAAGGAGAAGAAGAAGAAAAAGAAGAACAAGAACATGAAGGAAGTGGAGAGGAATCAAAAGGAGGAAAATGAGGAGGGGAAGGAGAAAAAGAAGAAAAAGAAGAACAAGAACATGAAGGAGGAGGAGAGGAATCAAAAGGAGGAAAATGAGGAGTGGAAAGAGAAGAAGAAGAAAAAGAACAAGAACATGAAGGAGGAGGATGGAATCAAAAGGAGAAAAAGGAGGAGTGTAAGGAGAAGAAGAAGAAAAAGAAGAACAAAAACATGAAGGAGGAGGAGAGGAATCAAAAGGAGGAAAATGGAGAAAGGAGAAGAAGAAAAGAAAAAGAAGAACAAGAACATGAAGGAGGAGGAGAGGAATCAAAAAGGAGGAAAATGAGGAGGGGAAGGAGAAGAAGAAGAAAAGAAGAACAAGAACATGAAGGAGGAGAAGAGGAAAGGAAAAAAGGAGAAGAAAATGAGGAGGGGAAGGAGAAGAAGAAGAAGAAAAAGAAGAACAAGAACATGAAGGAGGAGGAGAGGAATCAAAAGGAGGAAAATGAGGAGAGGAAGGAGAAAGAAGAAGAAAAAGAACAAGAACATGAAGGAGGAGGAGGGAAGAAAAAGGAGAGAAAAAAGGAAAGTGTAAGGAGAAGAAGAAGAAAAAAGAAGAACAAGAAAATGAAATAAGTGGAGAGAAATCAAAAGGAGGAAAATGAGGAGAGGAAGGAGAAGAAGAAGAAAAAGAACAAGAACATGAAGGAGGAGGAGGGAATCAAAAGGAGAGAAAGGAGGAGTGTAAGGAGAAGAAGAAGAAAAAGAAGAACAAGAAAATGAAATAAGTGGAGAGAAATCAAAAGAAAAACAAGAGGAAGGAGAAGAAGAAGAAGAAAAGAACAAGAACATGAAGGAGGAGGAGGGAATCAAAAGGAGAGAAAGGAGGTGTGTAAGGAGAAGAAGAAGAAAAAGAAGAACAAGAACATGAAATAAGTGGAGAGAAATCAAAAGGAGGAAAATGAGTAGAGGAAGGAGAAGAAGAAGAAAAAGAACAAGAACATGAAGGAGGAGGATGGAATCAAAAGGAGAAAAAGGAGGAGTGTAAGGAGAGGAAGAAGAAAAAGAAGAATAAGAACATGAAGGAGGAGGAGATTAATCAAAAAGGAGAAAAATGGGAGGGGAAGGAGAAGAAGAAGAAAAGAAGAAGAAAAAACATGAAGGAGGAGGAGAGGAATCAAAAGGAGGAAAATGAGGAGGGGAAGGAGAAGAAGAAAAAAAGAAGAACAAGAACATGAAGGAGGAGGAGAGAGGAATCAAAAGGAGGAAAATGAGGAGGGGAAGGAGAAGAAGAAGAAAAGAAGAACAAGAACATGAAGGAGGAGGAGAGGAAGAAAAAAGGAGGAAAATGAGGAGGGGAAGGAGAAAGAAGAAGAAGAAAAAAGAAGAACAAAGAACATGAAGGAGGAGGAGAGGAATCAAAAGGAGGAAAATGAGGAGGGAAGGAGAAGAAGAAGAAGAAAAGAAGAACAAGAACATGAAGGAGGAGGAGAGAGGAATCAAAAGGAAATGGAAAAAGGAGAAGAGGAAGAAGGGAAGAACAAGAAAGAAGGAAAAGAATCAAAAGGAGGAAAACAAGAAGAAGAAGAAGAAAAGAAGAATCATGAAGGGGAGGATGGAAAAAGGAGGAAAAAGGAGAAGAAGAAGAAGAAAAAAAAAGAACAAGAACATGAAGAAGGAGAGAGGAATCAAAAGGAGGAAAAAAGAGAAAGGGAAGAAGAAGAAGAAGAAGAAGAAGAAGAAGAAAAAGAAGAACAAGAACATGAAGGAGGAGGAGGAATCAAAAGGAGAAGAAAAGAAGAGGAAGGAAAGAAGAAGAAAAAAGAACAAGAACATGAAGGAGGAGGAAGGAATCAAAAGGAGAAAAAGGAGGAAGGGAAAGAAGAAGAAAAAGAAGAACAAGAAAAGAAGGAGGAGGGGAGAGAAAAGAAAAAAGAACAAAAAAAAGGAGGAAAAGAACAAGGAGAAGAAGAAGAAAAAGAAAAGAAGAACAAGAAATGAAGACAAGAGAGGAATCAAAAAGGGAAAAGAAGGAAGGAGAAGAAGAAGAAAAAAGAACAAGAACATGAAGGAGGAGGATGGAATCAAAAAGGAGAAAAGGAGGAGAAAAGGAGAAGAAGAAGAAAAGAAGAACAAAACAAGAAGGAGGAGGAGGAAATCAAAAAAGGGGAAAATGAGGAAGGGAAGGAGAAGAAGAAGAAAAAAGAACAAAAACATGAAGGAGGAGGAGAGGAAGAAGAAAAGGAAAATGAGAAAGGGAAGGAGAAAGAAGAAGAAAAAAAAAGAAGAACAAAAAGAAGGAACAAGGAATCAAAAGGAGAAAAGGAAGAAGAAGAGGAAAAGAAAAAAAGAAGAAAGAACAATAAATGAGGAAGAGGAGGGAATCAAAAAAGGAAGAAAAGGAGTGTAAAGAAAAAAAAGAAAAAGAACAAGAAAAGAAGGAGGATGGAGAAGAAAAAAGAGAGAAAAAGGAGGAGGTAAGGAGAAGAAGAAGAAGAAGAAAAAAGAAGAACAAAAAAAAACATGAAAGGAGGAGGAGAGAAATCAAAAAAAAGGAGGAAAATGAGGAGGAAAAGGAGAAAAAGAAGAAAAAAAAGAAGAACAAAAACATGAAGGAGGAGAGAGGAATCAAAAGAAGGAAAAGGAGAAGAAAAGAAGAAGAAGAAGAAGAAAAGAAGAACAAGAACATGAAAGAGGAGGAGAGGAATCAAAAGGAGGAAAATGAGGAGTGGAAAGAGAAGAAGAAGAAAAAGAACAAGAACATGAAGGAGGAGGATGGAATCAAAAGGAGAAAAAGGAGGAGTGTAAGGAGAAGAAGAAGAAAAGAAGAACAAGAAATGAAGGAGGAGGAAGGAATCAAAAGGAGGAAAATGAGGAGGGAAGGAGGAAGAAGAAAAAAGAACAAGAACAAGAACATGAAGGGAGGAGAGAGGAATCAAAAGGAGGAGGAAGGAGAAAAGAAGAAAAGAAGAACAAGAACATGAAGGAGGAGGAGAGGAATCAAAAGGAGAAAAAGGAGGAGTGTAAGAAGAAGAAGAAGAAAAAGAAGAACAGGAACATGAAGGAAGTGGAGATAAATCAAAAGGAGGAAAAGGACGAGGGGACGGAGAAGAAGAAGAAAAGAACAACAAGAAAATGAAGGAGGAAGAGAGGAATCAAAAGAAAGAAAAGAAGGAGGGGAAGGAGAAGAAGAAGAAGAAAAAGAAGAACAAGAACATGAAGGAGCAGGAGGGGAATCAAAAGAAGAAAAAGGAGGAAGGTAAGGAGAAGAAGAAGAAGAAGAGCGAGAACATAAAGGAGGAGGAGGGGTAGCTGAAGGAGGAAAAAAGTGGAAGGAGGAGGAAAAGAGAAGACGAAGCTGACTAACGAGACCTCAGTACCATTGTTGAAAGCGTCGTTGTGTATATAAGCAACCGTTAGCGCTTTTATCATTCTTGTAATTAAAAATATTCTCCTGCAATTGCCCGTTAGATATTGGCACTTGATCAACATTTCTATATTCTACAGAATTATTTCTCCCTGGCAAAAAGTGTCTGAAAACTACAACAATGGAACTCTTCTGCATTCTTTACGAAGAGAAAGAAGTTATCGGAAAATTCATAATCTCTATTCCTCAGGGCGCCACAAACGGAAAAATGGTTGGGTTCTGCTTTGACTTTTTTTCATTGTTTGTTTTGGGTTTTTTATTATTTACTTGTCAAATCATTCGAAAGAATACAAAAGACGAACTCTCTCTCTCTCTCTCTCTCATTCTCTCTCTCTCATTCTCTCTCTCTCTCATTCTCTCTCTCATTCTCTCTCTCTCATTCTCTCTCTCTCTCTCTCATTCTCTCTCTCTTTTATTATCAATCTCATTCTCTATATTTCTTTCACTCCCCCACCATCTTTCTCTCACTTTCTGCCATCATTTTTCTGTTACTTTCTTTATTTCGTTTGAATAAGAAAATAATGTTAAGAAATTGTAAACTGTTTCAATGGCGAAATCGTATCATTCAACGGTTTAAGTTATTTGACAATTTTTACTTGGTTGAATGATTTTAGTGAATCACCTTCATTCTCACCAAATTCCATCCGAGACAAGTAAGTTCCACTCGAGTAACTTCTTACCACGAACCACTGCTCTGTGGAACCGACTCTCAACAGGATGTGTCCCTGATCACCACACTCTTAACCTGCTCAAGTCTAGAATTAATCGTGATCTTCCGTCATCTATCCGCAGAAACAGTTCTTACTCTGCAACCCTGGATTGCCCCGATTCCGAGCCTCTACAGGGTGAACCTCACCGTAAAAATAAAAAGGAAAAAAAAAAACACTAAATGCAATATTTGAACATCGCAATGACTCTTATCATAATTTTGATTTAAAAGATGCTGCTTTAATTAAAAGAGGAAGCAATTTACTAAGACGATAATATATAGAAAGGACTTTAATCGCAAATTATCCACAGTAAATTTACATTCAGGCTTGTCCAGCATTTCACCTTTCTTGACAGATCTTTTATTGTCACAGTGTAGGATATCTAATTAAAAAAATGCTATAAAAATTATTAAAAAGAAAGTAAATGAAATTTGCTAGACTATTTACTTAAACTCATATTTCTGAAATAACTTAGCATTTCCGCACTTCTTCCTTTGTTCGTATTTGCTGTGTCCTTTTAAGACGTAGGCAATCCAGTCCTTTATAGGTTTTAATAAATTTTATATTTTTGTTATTTCTCCTAAACCCTGATGTGTAGTTACATCAACATAAACATTTTTTAGTTAGATGAAGTCCTTAATGACTAGAGACATCCCACAAAACGTTTTAACACTTTATCCTTAATTTTCCTAATATTAGAATAAATAAAACCATTTTAAAAGTTTATTTAGAGAATGCTATTAACATCTCTCAGTGAAGTCAGGATGAAAGTATGTTCAGATAAATAAAAAAAACGCGGCAAATTTTGTATGGAATTTCTTTAACTCCTAAATATGTAATAAATGGGCTTGCTGTGCATATGAATATTAAACATGGGCCATGGGGCTGATTTGATAGATGAAGGATATACATAATGAATTTAATGGTTTGTTTGGTTTGTTTTGTTTTACGGTATATCAACGTCAATGGGTCATTTAATGCCGACAACTTTTCTTTTTTTTTTTCATGGTAATATTTTTATTTTGTCAAAAATCTATTTCTGTTAATATTTTTTTCTCAAAAATGTAGAGCTGCTAATATTATTTTTTACAAAAACGTATTGCTAGTAATAGTTTTTTTTTTCTTTTTTTCAAAAACATATTGCTGGTAATATTTTTTTCTTCAAAAATTTATTTCTGGTAATAATTTTTTACAAAGTATTTCTGGTATTAAAACAAATTTTTTACACTTTTATAATGCTTTTTACCTCAGTTTCGTGGTTAACTATTTGTCCATAGTTGAGACCCTAACAGGTGCTACTACTACGGGTGAGGGTGGACCTGGAAACACCAGCAATTAAGACGTGGTTCCACCCTCCTCAAAGCCTCCTGATAAGAGGCTTTGCTGTTGGACGTAGTTTATCGTCTTACCCTGGACTCTGATGTAGTTTATCGTCAAACCCAGGACGCTGAATTTAATGTATTTTTCATTCATTTCATGATAGGCAGGTAACAACGAACTGCGAAGTCTATTGATAATTTTGGATGAATCTTATTCCGAGCTTGATCGGACAAGTTCAGTAGTTTTTCTCACAAATTTATGTCCTCTGACAAAACAAAACTTGCTTCTGATATTCAACATCTCCATAACCAAACTAGTAACGCTCCATCATGACCGAACAGACCCTGAACTTTCACCTCCCATGATAAATGAGATTCCTTTTAAAGGGAGACTTCATGCCTTGAACGCCTATTAAGAATCATATTCCACCCAAGTGGAAGCTGTATAAAGAGGCTGCAAAGTTAGTCATACAATAAGTAATATACCAATATTACTAGTATTACTAGTAATATTATGCCAATATTACTAGTATTATAATAGTAGTTCTAGGATTCATTTGATATTAGAATTAATTTTTACACTATTTACATTATTCGGACTATTGCAATATGAGCATTGGTAAAAATGTGTGCTGAAGACATTAATTTTTTAAGTCCCAGAAACTCATTGGCAAATGTCCTTAAGGACACGTGGCACATTGGATAAAGGCGTTGGTTAGATCCAGTGACAGAACCCAAAGAGTTGTGAGTTCAATACCTGTTTAAGGCATTGGAGAACTTGAAGAGATGAATTAATAGGAGATGACTGTTAAGTGACATCCATTAGACATGGCATGTGAAACTAGAACAGTCTACCCTAGCGAGTGAAATAAAGGGTTCCAACCACCTGAAGAAAGCCGGAGCGTACAACGGCCGAAATATTGTGATAAATCTAGCAACAATGATGAGGACAATAGTCCGAATAATGTAAATAGTGTACATAATACCTCATCTCAGAAATAAAAAAAATCATTTTTAATATGTTTTTTTCATCATTTTTATTATAATACATTTATTATATCAGCTGAAATTTACGAGTTCTCACTTTCTAGTCTCGGTAAAGTTCAAAAGCGGTTCAGTGTTCTTTTGGGTGACAAATTATTTTCCACCCTCCTATTGCTCTCTCACAGGCGTGATGTTACGTGCTTCTCGCTGCTCCTTCGCTACTACGTGCCCGAACTACATTTCAAGAGGATATTTATCTGATCTCTACAATCCTTACCTGTTGAAGTCTAAGGTAAACCGTTATCTTCCCCTTCTATCCATATAAACTACATCCTAACCTAACTCTCTACCTAGAATAGCCCCCGTGAAAAGAGTGAATCTTTTTAAAAAATTATAATTTTATTTTTAATAAGTAATAATAATAATAATAATAATAATAATAATTGTTTTACAGTGAAAGACTATTGGGTGAATTGCATGGCAAACAGTTTGACCATTTGAGTGATTGATATTTTTATTATTGATATATTTTTATTGATATCTTATTATTGGTGTGTTTTATTGATATGTTATTATTGATGTTTTATTGATAATTTATTTCTATGTTATTATTGATATGTTTTATTA